ATTGTTCTCTACTCCCACAAGCCGTCATTTATTTATTTAACCTACACTTGAAATCAAAAGTGTCTTTTTTTCCACCTCTCTCCCTCTCTTCTCTCTCTCACACACTCTCCCTCACTCTCTTCTTTCTTTCAAAGAACTATTTTTTTTATCACAACAGCCTCTACGCCGACCTCGTAACTTCCCACCATCATAATCACTATCTTCCTTATACTCCCTGTCGGCGATTGGCAGCAGAACCAAGCTATTCACTATTTATAACGTTATCTAGCTGCCTTTAACCATAACTAGCAGCTGGTTAGTTCACTACTGTCACAGATGAGGCTCATTGTGATGACATCGTCTGGAGCGTGGGAGTCCCAGCTCCAGCCCCGATATGTCTGCCTACTGAAGAGTTAAGAGCTACCTTAACCACGTCGGAGCTTTCAATATGGATTCCGACAGAGAGGCGGACACAGTCATGCATGGCAGCCATCCCGCTGCACAATACTGCTGTGCAATGCAGAAAATATCACAAGAATTGTCACGTCGACGTTGCGTCGACACTCATCGACGGCTGGGTTCCGCTTTAAACGGGGAAATCAAAGACCTAGACCAAAATATATTCTTTTGGCTATGGACATAACTTACCCTCCCCGAAGAAATAAGGCCTTCCTTCTACAGAAACCTTTTCACATTCTGTAGACCTGGATCCCATCAGCCATCACTCGTTCTCCCATTCACCACCACCTGTTACCTTGCAACATAGTAACTATGGCACCAGAGGTAAGTACACTGAAGCACATATGCAAGTCACAAAGGTCGGCCATTAACAAAATTGTGAATGCGCAGAGACAGTTCAAGTACTATAGCTTCTTCAAGGAGCTATATGACAATGACCGAGACATTCAATACATCGAGGGAAAAACTATCTCTCGAGTATTCAATGCAGCCAACTCTCGGTTTTACAGCAAAGCCAAGAGGGAGAACCTAGGCAACGCGAACGAATTCGCGAAGGAGAAGAGAGAGGACGGTTCAACCCTCCTCGAAGCGATGGCCCAACTTGCTTGGGAATGGCAAAACGACCATCCACGGCAGATGTAAGTACAAATTCATATGTACACTTCGAATTGAGAATTGAAAACGCTGATAGATGGAAATCCATAATAGCCCACCGCCTGGATGTATACAGATGCTATGGCACACATACAACATAGCATTTAACCGAAGCTTCTTCGAGTTCGGTCTTGACGAAGAGGAGGGCTACAAGCCCGAGAATCTCAGGGCCAACGGCTTTTACCACGACCAGTTTGACTGGGTCCGTAAGGCCAACTGAGAGACTTGCTCTGGTGTTTTTTGGAAGAGGTTACGGGCGGAGAGCACACACATGTGTGCAATCTCTGAGGATGGGGACGGTGGACAATGTACCGAAGCCAGAGGAGTGCGCAGCCCTATAACACAGGGTCAATCAACAGCATGCGGAGTGGAAATACAAGAGTTCTCATTTCGAGAGTAGGCGTTCAATTCTACTTTGAAATGCCAAATATTCCTTCTCACTGCCAAGTTCGTTCTTTTCGTGATGCCGACCCATTGCCGTAGCCTTATTCCCCTCTCCTTGAAAAGGTAGCACTTAACCGGCCCTAGGTAGAGGCTGAGCTTTTACATCCTTTTCACGCCCTCTTCATACCCTCTTCACACGATCTTCTACGAGGATGGATACTATACATTAGCCTAACCTCATCCTTATCCTAGTCCCTCCCCGCCCCCAATTTTACATCTCGTAATAACATGGAGATATGGTGGTGGAAATACCGTTAGACCATATTCTCAAGGGTCTTATAGTTGTCTTCCTACAGGCTGGTGACAATGTTTGAGAAGCCCGCTACGACGTAAAGGCTACCACGCTGTACTGTTCGGGTCCTGCCCGTGTCGTAGGGGTAGCCTAATTGCTATTGTTTTATTCTCTTGAAAATATTAGATCGAGATAGCTATAGAGTCACAACTATGTTACAAGATCGACGGCCACGATGTCGACCCTATTGTAGCTCTACGAGGAAAATTTACGGACAACCCCCAGGATTTGTAGGTTTTCGTAGCGGATTATCAGTAGTCAGCGTGATGCCTACACTCATCTCTACCTAGTCCTCCCATGGAGCAAACCCCTATCATGCTTGTGGCAGGCTACACAAGTCGGTGTCCTCAGGGGCAAACTGAATTTGATTGATACTCCTATCTTCCTAGTAGCGAAGACCTATCTAATTGAGTTCCGATAGATGTCGGTTCTAACGTTAACAATAAATGGTATTTGGGTATGTGAAGTACGTGATCTAATTAGAATTCTTGTTAATGTTAATCATCTCTATATTGACCAGGTAGATTTAATCCTCCGTCTCCGTTGCTATTCGACTTCTAAGGGCGCTAGGGTATTGCTAGAGTATCTGGGCTCTGCAATATGCTCTGGTTTAGCTGAGTATTGAACTGATGACGGTGGGATGGGGATATCTAGTTGGATGACTAGTAGGTGTAGATAGTGCAATTACTGTCAGCTCTCGTAGTTTTTCCGGCTTGTGGCTCAATCTTCAGCCGGTCACGGGACGACTCGAAAGAGGGATTCTCGTAATTTTTACTAGAGAGGACTTATAGAAATATCTAAAGCCGAAACGCGCAATGTTGCCGGCCCCGATCCATGTGGGTGTGGAGTTGAGGTAGCGGCTTGGAAGGCCGTGGAAGTGCTTCTGGGCGAAAGTTGACCAGGCATTTTGGGAGAATAAGAGGTCTGAATCTCAGATCGTTGATAACACACTGAAGGCTCCAAAATCGATTAAGGACTCATGTAATATGGTACTGTGCGGAAAATATAGACAGACAAGTAGTTGCTATATCAATATAACTTCTCCAGAACTCGTCAAAGGATACTGTTGTCGGCAAGTCTAATGTATACTAATACTTGATCCACCTCAGTTATAGGACAAATATAGTATCTTTACAATTGGGACATGACGCATAGGCATTAAAGAGATACGATGAAGACATTGGGGCTAAATCTGGTAGTGATTTTTTGGGTGCTGTGTTCTGAAGCTATGACTTTCATTCAGAGTTGCCTACTAGGGACCAGTTGTCAATTTACGTAGGAATGCAAAACTCATTACATATCAAGCCCTTGGCACAGAAATAGAAAGTTCGCCTCAGGGCGTCCTGTTGACCTGAAGAGTAGTGTGGAAGCAATAGTCATTCAACGGCTGCTTATTTTGCTGAGAGCGGACGGAGTATTGAATAAAAAATAGTGGATATACGCTAATTAGCGATGCAGAATAGAAACTCATTTATATTGGTCCGAATCCGACCTGAGACCTGCAAAGATAGCCTCATGCACGAAGCTCATCGCACCCGTCTCAACATTGCGGCAGGTTGATAGGGGACACATCGGACTGGACGATGACGCTGAGAAGATGTTTCCCGAGCTCGCTGGTTTGGAGATGCTGGAGGGCCTTGACCACGGAGGAAACCCGATATACAAGAAGAGGGGGACCGCAATTACTCTGAGGCAAGCATACTATCCCCTCGTATTCGGACACAATGCTTCTTTTGCACTAGGGACATCCTCTCGTATTTATCAGGATTTTGTTACCCATTATATGATCACAAGCTCTTACAGCTCAAGAGAGAACCGAGCGCAGCACCTCGTAGACCCATCGTTATCAAAGTTTTTTTTCTTTCATTCTCTGGTATCTCAACCCGGACAGGATTGGATCTACGGAAGCGTCCGTGACTAGGCCGGCAAGATAGTCGAGCGGCTCTCCGGGCATCCACTCGAATAATACATGCGCGGCAACATCCGGAACCCGCTAGGTATGAAGTACGTCAGCTTCTCGCTAGAAATGAACCTAGAATTGAGAGTCCGTAAGGTGGGAATGAGTCTCAGAGACGAGAGCGGGAAGCTGGCCCCGACAACGGAAGGCTACGTTATGCTCTATGAGGACAGGGACGAAGCATACGATGAGCGGCGAGCGACATGCTGGGTACTAACCGAGGCTTATCTGCGCCTCCTACAGTATCTATGTGCCGACGATGGTACCGTCTTGAGTAAGTTGCTGGTGGACGAGATGTTTCCGCCGCAGCTCGGACAGAAGACCAACGAAAGCATGAACCACTCTATCAAGTCGACTGATGTCTGTCGGAGGACCCAGGCCTGTTCTTTCAATATGGATCACCAAGAGTTGGACTATAGTCTTTGGGGCGTGGTTGGCCCAAGAGATGAAGTTGGTAGGAGGAAAGCCGGGGCTGTAGTAAATAGCACTCAGAGTCATGTATCCTCCTATCCTGTATCAGGGGCAAGGATTCCACATTGAAGTATATTGGGGTGTCAATGAACAGGTCCCTGAATGTTTATGTCCGCCCCCGATTTTTCGCCAAACGTTTAGAAAGAGAATATACTAACACCGAATGCTCAGTCATGGGGTGGTCTGCCGAATCTGATTTAGTGGATCGATATGAAGACTGGTCTTTGTGGTGCCAATTTTTTCACGGCGGGGGCCGCAGGGAGATATAAGCTGGAAGCGGTGTTCGAGAGAGCGGTTTACGAACAATACAAGAAATTCCGGAATAACGACTGAATAATTAGGTTGAGCAACCTATGATGTACGGTAATTGAGTCAATAGTGTGGGCTCTACGAACGCTGATAGGAATTGCACCTATCCACCTGTTGATGCTTATTGAAGAGTACTTATTAGACACCAAGGGGCTAACAAGCTCTGGTCAACAAAAGTCAAAGGGCCTATGTAATTCGGGTTCCTGATATTTCTATAAAAAGCACGAGGCTTTTCTAGGCTTGTGATTTATTTATGTATTTGGGACGTATGTGAAGGCGGCGGGATTGGGTAAATGACGAGGCCTGGAGTAGAATACCGACTTCGTCTATAGAAAGTTCTGGAAGGCTTTAGGAAGCTTTACCGGGGGGACTTGGCAAAAACGCTGTTTTCAACGCCAAAAATATGGTATCGGAGGGCTTGAACCTCTGCTGCGATGGACTCGCGGGGAATCGAACCCCGGACCACTCCCAAGTTGCAACGAATGCTAAGGGAGTATTATACCACTAAACCACAAGCCCGGCCTGGTGAGAGTATCGTCAATTAGACACTCTACAATTGCTGACAAATGGAGCCAATATCGCTAATTATACAGACCAACGTGGCGAATACCTACCTGCTTACCTACATGTAGTTAGTATTGAGCCTAGCTCAGCTAGGTTAAGTACTTGTTTAGCCTGTTAGTTCGGTCCGTGACCTGGACTCCGATGCCGAACACACCTAACCTAGGCATGTACGTACCTACCCTACATAAGAGAGTACTTGAAGTTGAGAGGGTAGATAAGCTGACCTATGGGTCCACTAGAAAATGCCTATAGTGTACTAGTGAGGGAGGCAGGCTTACCATAAAAGGTTTAGTTGACTATTGCAAATTTCGTTGACCAACGTTTTCAGGTACTAAAATCTGGGTATAAAACCCATATAATTATTAGTGCCTGGAAAGCGATTACGATAATATAACCTATACTGTTATATTATTTTTTTAAATTTATTTTAAATATTTATTTTAATTAATATACTTTATGCGATACTTATTTCACTATCATTTAAAGGGAAAAAAAGGTACTATAATCAGTAAACTGAACTAGAAGCAATTGCTATCAGTGTGCCAGTGTAGCAGTAACTTCAGTTTTTAAGGAATCGGAGATAGGCCGATGTGGACCCATAGGTCAGGTTATCTACCCTCTCCTTGAAGTTCACAGCCAAAACTGAGCTAAAGAAGTACTTCAAGGTGTGGCTTGACTTTTATAAGAAAGGACTCGATGACGCCTCTGTATCAACTTGAACACTGGGTTGACTAAGTAGTTAAAGTAGGTAAGATTTGCATTCCGTGTACAGGTAGTAATAGAATACCTTATCCGTTCGGAGCTGGAAATGCGATAGACATCGTCTTGTCCATGCTTCATCGTGGCTTGCCTCCGAGAGCAGCAGCACGACACCAGGTGCTCTAACTTACAATAATTTCTCATGTATGTACATACGTTATTAAAGCTGCTGGGCATCATAATACTATATTTACACATTTTCGGACTCATTTCATTGTGGTTACCGTTTATCAATGAATTCGTGTACTATATCAAACGGAGGCAGGGCCTTCTTATTGGATTTCCAACCTATTCTACCTATGTATGACTTATTACACCTAGGTTAGCATGTCTTGAACGAAACACAGTGTATTATTATATCTTTGACTCACCACTTGAGATCTAGTTAGTGGGCTTCTTCGTCTCTTACTCGTCAGCCAGAGTCCTAGTCTGACTCTAATACTCATAAAGTGTTTGATCCTTACAGAAGGTAAGCCACGACCATGTATTTTCATCAAAAGGGTCTTGACAAATGGGTAGCTAGGCATCCTTTGGAACCCCGAATATGCTGTTGATCATGCTTAAGATCGGACACACAACGAGCTAGAATTTAACCCCTAGAGTACCTGCTCGCCAAAATACATATTTGCTTGTGTTCTTCATATTTTGGGCCGACTTGAAAGTGTTCGATGTCTTGATCACGGTTTTGAAGAAGACTCAGTCAAGCCTACACCTTGTAAGATGACCGGCAGTGAGTCACGTTGTAGTGGCGTCTGTGTTGGGTCGCTCCAGACTGATGACGTATGTATATTGCATATGTATATATGTACTGCGCTGGGCTTGGAAATTACCTGTGATATTAAGGCATTATATGTAAGAAGATACAAAGACTTCATGGCTACATGCATACATATAGGCACCGACTTAGAAGTACCAAAAAGATTCTTGTCTCCAAGTTCGTCAAGTTCTCATAATCTGACCCTGTAGGCAGGCAGCTAATATATGGGTGAAATCAACTGACATAAGTACCTAGGTATGTAATAGTTGCCTTCGTCTAAGATTGTCTTGCACCTGTATACCTAATGATTCTGGACACACGGGTGGGTAAGGTGGTTAGGGAGCTTGGGCTATTTGAAGAGAGCTCGTGGGGCATTCTGGGCATTAATGACATCCGCCTCGGATCTATTTAATAATGCAAATGACGGTGGTGACTTGTATATAAATGTTGGGCCGCAGATTGTTCTAGTAATTGATGAATTGGGCAAATTCTCTCGACGTGTCTTGCATGAGCATGTGCTTAGGTGGGCGCCGGACCTTGAAAACAGAGCCAGCTTGATGTCTACCTAGCATCAATACCAACCTATAGGTACTTGACATACCTACCTACATTGAAACTTCGAGTGTAGGTAGGATGTAGGTACTGCACACTGGGTGTACCTACTTATTTTTTTTGGAGGGGATTCGCCAAACCCCCACCTAACAAGGCCCTTAAGTTTACCTTTTACCTTTACATACTTAAGTACCTAACTTGCCAGCTTGCTTAGGTACAGTACGTACATACATGCATTAGGTACCACAAGGCACCCAGCACAATCATTATTACGCAAGGTCACTAGCCCGCTATTACTTAGTACGTATCTAAGCTATCAGTCGCGACCTTCAGCTTTCTAGTTCCTAAACCATTTTTCTCTCTCGTCAACTTTTGACTCCGCCAAACTTCACATTAGCGACGACCAAGTTGAGGATCTCAGGTTTTTCAAGCTGAGCATCCTATTTCTCCAGCTTGTAATAATATAATCCATCCCAATTTTCATAAGTTCGGAAACGACGGAACAGCGGCCTGCACCCGCCTGGACCATTCGATTCTGTATCTACACTCTCGCATCATCCTTCACCGGCCGCCCCTCACCCACTCACCATCTAACCAACCTTGATTTCGATAATTTCCCTGCACCTGCGACACGTGGGGTGCATCTGTCCTGCCACCCTCACCACGTAACCAACCCGACTTGGGTGTGAACCTCGGAATCATTTTCGCAAACGAAGTCGTAACCTAGGTAGATACCCGCAAGGCTGATATCCCGAGACGTGGCGAGGCTTATATTATCCGACCCCCCGGTTCGACCAGCTCTCGCCACCCCGCCTTGCGTGCGAAGACTCATCTCCGAAGAATCGCGACCCCAGTTACGAGAGGAGCAGTCCAAGTTATTTTGGACGCTCCCCAGCGACGAGTCACGTTGTCGTTACCGATCGTTTGAACATCGGTTGTGGAGGGGGAGCTGACTGACACATCTTATGCGGCTCTGCCGCTCCGGCCTTCACCATGGGAAAGATAACGAAGACCATCCAGCCTAAGCACAAGGAGACACTGGTGAGTACTTGCTTGCGTTATACGCTGCCTCCTTCGGAATCCCGCTAATTTGCATCTCTAGTCTCCGTGGCTACAGCAGTTCGTCGATACTGCATCGTCGACGCCGTTGCCTCGCTTGCCCAAGCTTCTTGCCACATTCCCCACACGATGGCCCTTTCCTAGAGGTGATTTGTACCATTGGATACCACTACTAAATCGGTTCGACGACCTCCTTGAAACCTTCTGTTCCGTGTACAAGTTGAATGAGGGTCCCCAGTCTCGAGATTTTGGCTGCGAAGTTTTGCTGGGTTCGAACACGACGAGTGATGGCGAAGAACAACAGCTAAATAAGATGGAGAAGCTCCTTGAGTTGGGGTATAGTGAGGATGGCGACGTCCATCTCATTGTGGCCATTTTGAAGTTCACCCAGATGCTCCTAGACCACTGTGGAAATCGCAGTATATACGCCAGCAGCGCTCATCTGAATGACCTTCTCAATAGCACCGACTTCAACATCATCTGTGCGACGCTCCGGGTCGGGGTAGAGCTAGCACAGCGCTATCAAGCCTCGGTGAAACGTCTTCACAGCATGGCGGCCAGACAAGTGCATACGACACTCCTATCGAACCACTATAACATCGATTTGGATCGTGTGCAGCAGCTCGCTCAGCCTTTCGTCAAGACTCCAATCATCAAGTCCTCGGATGCTGCACCGCTGGGGACACCAGCTTCTGCTAGTAAGGCTAGAGACAAATCTCACGGTGCAATCATAAAGAATGCGGCAACTATGTATGCGAATGACCTGTGCGCTATCGCTAAAGTAGATTCAGCCCTGGAGAATGTCGGCCCACCAGGGCGTTGGAATGGTTGGGGTGATGTGAAGCTCACATATTATCCTACGTCGGGCAGTTCACAGGAACAAACACAACAACCTATGACTGACCGAGGGATTCCAAACGCACCCTCAACGCCGACCCCTCTGAGGCGAACTAGCACTTCGACCACCGCACAATCAATCCCGCGCGCGAATCGCCCAGGGGCGCCGGAAGATAGTCCAAGCTCCGCCTCTCGGTCTCCGGCTGTAGCTCGCGAGGATAGCAGTACTCCTGGCCAGAAGACCCTGGAGGTACCCCAGTCTACAGTGATCTCCTCCTCCGTTTACCAGCTTTTGGGCAGAGTGCCGACGGACGCACCAAAAGAGACTCAGTACGAGTATTTAAACCGCCTCAGGGTTGCCAAGGCCCTCACAGGGTCGGTTGAATCTCGACAGCAGGCACTGAAGGCACGGTTGTTGGCTATCCAGAATTTGGCCTATATTCACACCGAGCCTCTCTTCATCGAAAAGGTCCTTAGGCAGGACAACGATGAGCCACGGCGATTCCAGCTTGTGTATCAGCTGGCGGAACTGATCCATCCTGCTGCTGATGGCACAACGGTGGTGCCTATCGATTTGCAGTCTATTGCATTATCTCTGTTGGAGGCCATCTCGGGCTTTCATAACAAGGTACCGGACATATTCTCGGCGCTGAATGCGACCGTGAACCATGGGGTGCTGCTATATGTTATAAGAAAGGCTGTTGCTGAGATGAAGGAGGATGACAGTGGGGAGCAATGGACTGATGAGGATGAATGGCGTGACAATCTCTTCTCTCTAACACTGCATATCACTATGGCCATGGCTAATAGCTCGACGCGCAATACGCCAGAAATCATATCTGCAGGATTGTTGGATGTCATGGTGGAGATTCTAAACATCAGATCCAACGTGGCCGAACGGACTTATGGTACCTTGGTAGGGTTCTTGGACAGCCTGGTTTATAATGTGCAGACTTCCTTCCAAACCTTGATAAATGCAGACGGTCTTGAG